CTCCTCGCTCCATCTCTTTACTAGTATAAACTGTTAGTCCTACAGACTTCTGGACTTGGAATACCACCACCAAACAACTTTAATTCCATGTCAAGTTTTTTTTTGATAGTGGGGAATTTCGAAGAAGGGAATCTACGTATAGAACTCAAGTTTTAGGTGTTCAAACACTTTTTTCATTGGAGTGGTCAGTAAGTCACTATGTGTTGAATTAATTTCATGTCATGTTTGGTTTAATAAAACAAAAGGTATATGATTATTTTACATTAAGAAAGAAAGAAAAAAAAGAGAGAGAAAAGAGGGAGAGTATGGCTGGGAAGATTGGTTATTCCACGAAAGTGAGAATAAAGTGATATAATAAACAAAACCAAGGGATTGTGTTAACTATTAACACCTTATCCCCACATATTAAATTAAAATGGTAATTATCATCACTATTTCCCTTTTTTGATCAGCAATTATCACAACCATTCTCTCTGTCTACTCTATTTCACGTAAATTGTTGTAGGGTCATTCCATTAACCAATGCACAATCTTAGGTTGGGTTTGGTAGGCCATAATGTAATGCAATATCCTGCCATTTAACTAGCTGAAGAAAGTATTGTTTTCTAAACAGTTTACCCAGTTTTGGGTGTTTCTTCGTTCATCTTTGGAATTTGTCTTCTCTTTTTTAGGAGCATCACCACAATCTTTCCAAGCTTTATTTTCAACACTGAAGTGGACGATTGATACCAAGCAACTTCAATTATGTTCAACACCATGGTTGCTAGGAACTTCTGCTAGGAAAGCTTAGTGCTGAAATCAAAGATCTAGGATCCTGCTGCATCAGAAGTGAACCGACAAAGAAATCTTCATTTCTTTTTGCTTGACGATCGTCTCCAGCTGCCTCCTTCGCTGGAACATTACAAGGGAGTCAGGCAGCTTGTTGGGCTATGAATGAGATTTGTTTTATTCTTTTTCCATCATCAGAGACTGTATCACTTGTTGTTCAACTGTTCAAAGGCCTCATTGTAAACATTGATTTATAGGCTTGATCCCAACCCTCTACAATTAATGGTATTCGGGTGATTCCTCTACAGAGGTGAGGGATCGGAGTTGATGGAAGGATATTTTTTCTAAACATGAAAACAGGAGGGTCTTCTATAATCATCCCATCGATCCACTGTATTACTCCATTTCTCAAATGTTCGAACTGAATTACACAAGAGTAAACAATTTTCTAGCTTGTATAATGTCAGAATTTGATCCTGGGGTCGTCTTATCTGAACATCGGCAAAGCAATGGATTTATGGATGCTCAATTTGAGCTTGTGTTCTCCAGCTTATGAAAGCTTTTGCTGCTTCAACCTCAATCTTTACTTCGATGGTTGATTGGTGCTGAAAGGATTCTTTGGCAAAGTTCAAAAAACTTACTTAAAAGCAAATTTATCTCCTAAATTTAAAATTTTATTTAAAAAATTCCAAAATTAACTTTTAAGGTAAGCTTTTAGCAAAATTTGATAAAGCTACGTATCCAATTTTTTTTCCTAAACTAGCTTCTAAACACCTTTAAAAGCAAATTTTCGAATTTCTTTTCAATAAAATTTCGGATTTGTGAGAAATCTTACTTTTTAAAATAAATACTTTTTAAACTTTACCAAACATGCTCTTCGATGTTCAAAACTTCAGATTGTACCAAAGTCTTCTCGACCATCTCTAGAGTCTAATATTGAGACTCACTTTCATACTCACTTGTCATCTTTTTCCCAGAAAGTGCAATTTTAACTTCCAGCTAAACATGAGAATTGAGAAACAAATGTCAAATGAAAATCATAACATAATTACTAACGATCTAAGTAATTTAGTGATAATTTTTCTTTCACATAAGTTCGAACTGTAAGCATGAAAGTGGGAGGAGGAAAAGAATGTCAGAGGATTGCCTCAAAATTACATAAATAAATAAATAAAATAAAAAATTACTTAAGTAGTTAGGAATACATATTCTTTAAAGAGAGGTAGTAACACATATTTCCTTAATCATTCACTAATTTAATACACAATGATAATCTTCAAACTTAGGTATTCTTGTCAAATGAATTTTTTTATTCTTACTTATTTCCATAATTTGACCAAAAATAATAATGATTACTCTCCAAACAATGATGTTATGCTTTACCAAAGTTCCCCCCACCCACCGTAAAAAAAAGAAAAAAAAGAAAAAAAAAACTCTATATTCTCCTCTGTGGCAGGGGCAGGGGCAGGGGCAGGGGCAGGCAAGGCACCAACCATGGACATATAAATTCAAAAAAAAAAAAAAAATTAATGTAAGATGCATCATTTCAACTCACAACAGAGATCCTCTCATCATTTTGATTATTCCTGAGGATACAAGGATCTCAATATCTTATTGGGCTTAGCAACGTCCATTATTAGAGTGGGAACTCGAAATCCATACAACAAACTCTACAAATTAGGATTTGGAGAATCACATTGGAATATGACATGAATAAAAACACAATTATAAGTGGCATGGTATAATAGAGAAGAGTAAAAATTAGAACAATCCTAGCATTTTATGCTAAGATTACTAGTGAAATTGTTCATTAATGAATATTTCTTGTATGTTGATTCACTAACGATATTTAAGTCTTTTTACTATTTTTTTTTGACATTTTAATTGTTAGGATGTTCTAATTGCTCTCAATCCCTAGTACCAATATGGTCCACAAAACTCTTAAACAAAAGGAGGGTCCATGCGGTATAACTGGAAGATGATAAAGTTCTCCCTAAATGCAATGCATGCTATGCTTCCACAAGTTTTAAAAACAAACAATGCTCTAACTCAATGATTTTCTACAATGAAATACACCATTTTAGCCCTTGAACTTTCTAGTTCTTCTCAATTAAGCCAAACTAATTCTGGTCCAAATAAGTCCCCTTTCTCTTAATTCCAGATCAAGTAAACCTAGAATCATTAATTTTCAAAGAAAAACACTACATAAGTAAATGAATTTCTAGTTGATTAAGCAAATTAAATGATCTTGTTTTTTTCAATTAAAAAAAAAAAAAGGATGCTTCCTGATCAACATGGAGCCCGTGAGGGAAGCACTGAAATTGGTGCTTGATGCACAACACATGCTACTATCAACAGAAATAACTAAATCTAGTACTACTTTGACACTTGAAAACCAGAACTAAAAGCCTTGTTCTTTTAAATTTTTAATTACGTTATAAATTTTTTTTTAAAAAAAAGAATTTAATAAATAAAAAATTTGATCAAAGGTTAAATGTGTCATCCAAAAAATTCATACATTTAGGTTTATTTGTTCCAAAAATAAGAGACAACTTAATTAGCCAAAGTTTGAGAGCTTAATTGAGAAAGACTTGAGTTGATGAGCTAAAACAATGGGGGCTTTCCTTTCTCCAATGCCATAATTGGACCACCAAATGTAGGAATATAAATAAGTAATTTTAGCTCTATAGGTCCATTTCACATGACATTATCTAATCTCCATATCTTGAAATCATTAATGCATTGCTTACATGAAAAACAATCATTCAACAAAGGTGCTAACTAGTTATCTATATGTTTTATGGTGGTTATAACAAAAACTTCAGATCAAATTTTTTATTATCAAGATTTGCAAGAGACCAAGGGGAGAGGGTACGAATCTAAAGAGTGCTACCTCTCATAGTTTTACCTCAGCCTACAAGGAGGAAAGATTGTATTAGAAAATATCATTGAAATTTACCCTCCCCCCTCTCATCCTTTCACCACAGAAGTCATCTTTTTGACCTTTTCATGCAATTTAGCTGGAAGCATTTCAAGTTCCACACATTAACATTTCTTCAATTAGCTGTAAGTGACATACCTGATTTTCTATCTTACCTTGCCTTTCACATAGCATCACCAACTCTCCACCTGCAGAAGATCAAAAACTCAAAATTAGGATAAATCTAGAAATTGCAATGTAAATTACACCATTGTAAGAAAGATCATGCAAAAAGCATGTAATATTCTTCTTTGTGATAAAATAAGAATGACTGTATCTTGCACATGACAAAAATAATTTATGGAAAAAACTATGTTGATCATTGTTAACTGTCGTTAGAACACATGTTACCCCTACATCAACACAGAAATCAAAACAAATCTATCTTCATTCTCATGACTCTATAAGCATCATTCACTTGTAAGAAAGATGACCCCAATTAACCATTCCTTGGGAGAAAGCCACAATTTAACTCTTCAAATGCCTCTAATTGCATCACAGAAAAACCTGAAGAAACTAACATAGATTGAATATTAACCTAATTCATCCCACTGCTTGTGCTAGCAGAGACATCCTGCAGACAATATCCTATGATTGATAACCGATGGAAGAACATGCTGTCTAGAACCAATGGATGATGAGCTTAAATGGAACTTGATTGTGGTAAAGTTACTCTTAGACATAGGAATGTCTTTCAAGCCTGTGGTCATCCTGAAAATCCGTAACTCTGCTTTACCAAACAAAAGCATCTGATTTCATCTACAAGGCATGCAAGGCATACAAAGTGCCTTCCCATATCCATATTAAAAATCTTACAAAAATTAATTCCAAAACCAAAAGTATGAAGATCTGATTCTCATAGAACATAAACTGGTAATGCAACACATTAGGACTATATCATCAGCCTCTTAACCATCTAGCATCAAAATATTTTCTGCAGCCAACACTTTTTCTCCCCAACTTTTCTAATAGATCAGTCCAGAAGATTTATCTCTTAATGTCCCCAAAATTGAAAACCATAACCACCAAAATAATCTACAAGTCTACCTTACATAAGCTCAAATCATACACTGCTGTTCCACACTTTTATACACTCTTTACTAGTTGTATTGTCAAGAAAGACAAGTTAACCTAGGAGAAAGACCATTTTGTATCCTGTCTATACAATTAATAAATACTATACATATTTGTGTAAATCCTGAATTTTTTATTGCAAATCTCTCTCTTGTCCAAAGAAAAAAGTCACAAGCTAAAAACACAATTTCTAAGGGGTCATTTTCCAATTATGGTTCCACTAAACAAGGGTCATGGAAGGGGTTGTGGACTGCAACAAAGAATGAACACCAATAACGCGCTTGAACGTGACACATAAAGTACCAAAATGAAACACAAATGCCAATAATCAGGGATTGAATCATGAGACAACACATCTGGGAAAGAATACTCTGATAGTTTGATTATAAGAAAGTCCAACTTAAAAATAAACTTCGAATTGCAAATTCATGTAATTCACATAACTGAGACAGAAGAAAACTTGCCTACATAAGTACTGATCGTTAGTCAGCCTCCAGTCAGATGGCATGCTCATCATCCTTCAGACAATCCAGAGTAACCAATGCACAAAGGAGTCATTTGTATTCAGGGGGTGGAGAGAGTATCTTGATTGCTGAATGATTGCAAGAAACAAATGGGAAGGCAGATGTAGAGAGTTTCTTTTTAACAACAGCTGTAGATACGCTGCAGAATCATGGTTGGACATTGCACAACTGGAGGCTTGCTGGTAAGGTATGAGATTTTATCAACAAGCTCATGCCAAAGATCCCTTTGGCAGAGGAGCTGTCACCAATCAACCTCAACATGTGCTTTGAAAATTATATCCCCAAGGCACAGTGCACATTCACAAAAAACTTTCACTAAGAAATGATTTGCCCTCTACCTCTCTCACCCTTTCTTATCTTAATTCTTTAAGTTTCTCAACCACAGAAGTTGACTAAACTTTATTGCTCACAGAAACTCAAATATATATAAGACAAAGAATTGAACCTTAAAATTTCCTCAAAAAATTAAGGAATATATTAAGTTCACATCACATACGTGTGATCCCATTCTACCAAACTGTACTGACAACATTTAAATTGGCCTGTGCTTTGTAGCACATAAAAACCACCACTTATAATTGGACCATTAGTAGAAATTTTAGAAGTAATGAAAAGAATACTAAGAGCAGTACTTTCTCCACCTTCTCCATCTAGGAGCCCCAGTAATAGCCCATCACATTAAAATCAAACGATCTTGCTCTTCAGCACATAATCCTCACTACAAAAGAAAGCTAAATTCAAAAGTATCCGAGCACACCCACTAAGCCATTTCATGTTATTCCCAGAAACTCTCCCTCACCATTGAAACTTAAATTGCAAACTGCACCAGAGACAACTTAAAAGAAAATGCCGAACGCTTTGTTCTATAGCACCAAATCATTCTTGATAACTTCCTAATAGAAATTGCCAGAACAATATAGCTCGCTTACAGCTAAAACACTAAACAATAAGAATTCTCTCTTTGGGATTTCTACTGGTGGCAAAGAGAATGCAACTTCAAAATCCTCAACGCTAAAATCACTTATCTTAAGAGAGCACTACAATCTTCCACAAGAAAAGCTACCCCATTCATCTAAAATAGAATGGCATGTACGCAGAATGTTAGAGATCTGCATCCATAAATGATACCTTCCTCGAAGCAAGTTTACAGATGATACACCTCCGCACACCAAGATCACTCATATACATGTAATTCAAGAAACTCATATACATGTAATTCAAGAAAGGTCAGCAACTAACATGACAGACATTCAGATTAACTAGTAGTGTACACTAATAGAATTACAGTACCTATGACCACAAAACGTCATCAACTCCTTGAGGATCTAACATCCTATACAAAATTTTCCAGTAACAAGGACCAAAGTAGATGAAAAGGCTAGGATTCCAAAGCCTTCACTTCGTTGGCATATATTTCTGATGAGGGCACCAAGAGGATCACTATTTGCGAACTTCCACCAGTAATGTCATTTGCAATCAAGCATAATGCGAAAGAAATATACTAAGATAATAGTTATAATGGTATTAAAAAATAAGTAAGCAATAAGATCTGCATCAATAGAAACCCTAATCTCAAGCATTGTCTCTATAGATTAAAACAAAGAAAAAATAAATCTATGTAAATAGTTTAGAATGACTAACAATGCATTTAGATTAAAAAAAAGTACTGAAGTCACATGTGGAAATGGATGATAAACACTTAATCCCTTATTGATCATTCATATAGGTTGAACTCACTAGCTGGCAGCACAGCAAGTTCCCTTTCTGGGAATGATTCTCCACACCTCAACATCAGGGAATCCGAGGCTTTTTCCAAGCAGGACCTGGACCATAGAAAGGACCCTTGTCTGGAGCACCCTGATAAGCAAGATGTGCACATGGTAAAACAAAGTACAAAATTCTAGCATGGTAATCTGATGGAAAACAAATAAAGTCAAACAAATAAATGAGAATAACTACCCGATGAATCCCATATCCATCAAATGGACCAGGAAAAGAACCCTCTGCACTGTTGAATTTCAACCCATATGCTGCACCTTGAAATGAAATGACAGAATCAATACATATATATACTATCAAATATCAACTAATGCCCCTGTATATGATCAGATCACCCATCATGCAGAAAAAAATACAAGCAAAAAAAACCAGTCATTTTCATTTAAATTAAGCAGATCAAAAGCCAAAGCAAAACCAAGAGAAAACTAGGTTAATTTAAACATAGAAGGAATGATCAACTTCATGGGAAAATATGAATAGTGCATGAAATTTTGTAGTAGCCAAACTCAATTATATGCAACTAAGCTTACCAGTAAGACAGAAAAGGCTATATTTTTTCCATTTTAGAATGGTGATTGGCAAAATGAAGATGATGCAAACAAATACATGGGTGGAATATAACCTCAGAAAAGCTCAATGACAAGCAGAGGAAAATTAACAATGATGTGGAATATATATATATATATATATATTGCTGAAACATGAATTGGAATATAATCTAACCAACAATATGCATTTATAATGAGACCTGAAGCACATAAAACAGACAGGACATACCAGCACCCCATGGTCTACCATCTACATTAGTGAGCTCTGCACGTAACTTTTCAACTTCACGTGCCATTGAGACCATGTTCTTCTCCATCGCTTGCCTCTGTTCCATCAGCTCAATATTTGCCTTTTTTTCATAATCAATAGCAGTCCTTCAAATAAACTCTTCATTTAGCATTTAGTTATAGTATATGTTAATAATAACATTGGGAGAACAAGCTAAAGGCCATGTAAATGGAAGGCAATGTTTCAAGATAGGAAAATCCAAAGGAAGAAGGGAATCAAGAAAGACCTAGCATGCATTAATTCCTGGCGCAGGCTATCAATCTCTGCCCTTAGAAGAGGTATCTGTTGATTCTCAGCTTGCAGTTTTGCAACATCTTGTTTGAGGGTCTGAGTTTGGCCAGTGAGCTCCTGCTTAATGTTATTTAGCTTCTGAACTTCTGTGCGGAGCTGCAGGCTGTCTTTTTTTAAAGGCTCAGTTGCACGAAGTTCTGCCTCTAGTTTCAAGCCTTTCTCAATAAGCTCTCTTGAGTGCATTTCTTTTTCTGCACAAATTTCAGCAATGACAATATTCATGCGATGAATTTCCTCCCTTGCACCAGCAAGCTCTCGCTGTAGAGCCATCCTATCTTCAACCAGCCTGTGGTTATCATTCAAGAGCCTTCGTTTTTCAACATGCTGTATTTCAAGTTCTTCTTCCAACAGAGCGGGATGAGGTGGTGGCAGAGGAGGACCACGGACAAAAGGTCTTTCAGGAGGTAACCCACGCCGATCATTGAAGACTTCACGAGGTGGAATGCGGTGTCTCCCAGCCATTCTAAATTACAACAAAAGATAAATAATTATTGCATGGTCAACTTTTTCACAGAATCTCACAATCAGAGACTCAGATTTCAGAGTCTTTATGAAGTCTATGTAAACTTTGGCAAAAGATGACAAGACAAGCACATTAAAAGAAACTGATTATAAGCATAATTTACAATTCTGAATTGGCAAAATGAACACAAAGCACTGTAGCACCTCATATACAGCTGTCTGATGTAACTAAGATGGTGTATACATTGGGAGCCAAGAGACAACATGGCATGCAAAGTGGAAATAACTTCCCTCAATTTTTCTCCGTTTCTAGATTCCAAAGTGGACTGTGACGAAATAAACAAATATCTAATTTATATGATTCAAGTTACCATATAAGTTGTTTTTACCAATCTTGCAGACACAGCCAGACATGCATACTAATAGATACAGACAATCACAAAGCCATGATTATGTAACAAGGAAGACTGTAATTTATCATCAGGGTACAAGATTGCAAATCTATGTGCAATTGTGCATACACATACATAAACTCATTAACAAATCAAACCTTTAAATTCTCAATAGCAAAACTCGTATTTACTGAACCAAAAAAAGCGAACTTGTGATGTGCCAGTGACCTGAATCTTAACAGCCAGGTGGTAATCGCGTTCCTTCAGAATTAGGGTTTCTGGGTTTGAGCCATGGCATCAAAAGGATAGAAAAGGGTCACCTCCCATGGTATAATCCACTAATTAAAATCATGGAATTCAAGTTTCCTGATCACTAGTTTAGTTACTAAGAGGCTACTGAGAACTCAAAGACAGAGAAAAAACACAACTTTTGCGTTTTGCCCAAATTCATCCACTTTACCATGTTTTCACACCATTTTCCCGGCAACCAAACAAATAATCAAGAAGCTACATGAAGAAAGGCATAAATCAAACACATAAATCATGCTCAAATATATAATATTTTCCACTTAAAACAGCCAAAAACCTTAATTTTCTATTTCAATTATAAAGAAAAAATTAAAAGAAGAATAAACCCAAACCTGTAAACAAGAAATTGGAGGAAATTTGAGTTTGTAAGTTAGGTTAAAAATATAAAAAGCACAGTTAGGGTTCCGATCACCGGAATTCTGAGGTTTTCAGGCGATGCGTTGGGGAAGAAACTGAGGAGAGAGACGGATTAGAAATATACTGATTTTGGAAGGTTTCCTTTGTTCTCTGCCTGCCAGGTGCCAGCTATTGTAACGTGGCGGACGACGACGTTTCGTCGTTTATTGTTGTTCACCTTCCTTTTTTGAACATGTTCATGGCCCAACCCAAAGAAGGCCTAAGACAACTGTGGATTTTGGAAAGAGTCCAACTCAAGTTGAGGCTTGGGCTTTTTTTCCATCTCTACTTGAGAAAAAGATTATGGGTCAGTTTAGTTACCACCTTATATAGGACCAAAATGATTGGGTTTAAATTCTGAAGACGGGTGAAAAGAGATAAAAATGAAAGAAAGAATTTTCTCAAAAAAAAAAAAAAAATGAAAGAAAGAATTAATTAAAATTTTTTTTATATTAACCTCCTGTATTTAAAAGTTACATTGAATTTTAACTAATTTAAAGTCGAGCTGTATCAAATCCTATAAGGAAGAAGCTATATTAGCACCTGTTTTTCTATTTATAAAATTTGAATTTGAGATTTTACTCAAGGAAAATCGATTTTTTTTTTACTCAAACTAACAAATTATTGATAGAAAAAACTAATTAAATGACTATGAATGATGATCTAAACGATGATGAAGCACAAGAAGAGTTTTCTTCTAGAGCATTGATGAATGACGATGATGATGAGATACTCACCATGAAAATGGCTAGAACATGGATTATGATATGGTAGAATTTTGATAATAAATCATCTTTGTCATTGACTTTAATATGTTAATAACCAATGGATCTAAAATGAAATTATGGACAATCTTTCCACCATATAACATAACCAAATAAATGTGTGGAACTTAATTGTTAATGTGATCCATTTTCCAACGACCTTTCCAATTTGGATTATCAATAGTTTTTTTGTTTATCATCTCCCAAAAGAAGATTATCTATTCAAAGTCATCTAATTTAATTATTAAAAAAGACATTTGATGCATTAACTTTTTCCAAAGTTTTTAGAGGTTTTCATGGAAAAATCGAATGATTTGAGCATGAGCACTTTCATATTAAGAATTTTATATTCAAATTTTCAAAGGAGTAAGTAAGAGTTTAAAGAAGATGAGGAAATATGAGAGAAAAAAAAAGGTATGGTTTAGACGTCATTGTCCTTTTATTATTGAATATTATATTTTATAAAAAGCTTTTAATTTTGGCCCCAGCCATAAGAGAAATTCTGCTACGTTACAAAAAATATATATCTCAAATGAATAAAATTTGACAATTTACCAAGTATGTGTATATATATTATTTATTCTCTCAATTATAGGTTTATAGTTCAATTTCTAACCTCTATATACCAAATATATATATATATAAACAATGGATCTAAAATGAAATTATGAACAATCTTTCCACCATATAATATAACCAAATAAATGTGTTTGGAGATTAATTTTTAATGTGAATCATGTGATCCATTTTCCAACGATCTTTCCAATTTGAATTATCAATAGTTTTTTTTTTGTTTATCATCTCCCCAAAGAAGGTTATCTATTTAAAGTCATCTAGTTTAATTATTAAAATAAGACACTTGATGCATTAACTTTTTCCAAAATTTTTAGAGGTTTTCATGAAAAAGCAAATGATTTGAGAATGAACACTTTTATATTAGGGATTTTATTTTCAAATCTTAAAAAGAGTAAGTAAAAATTTAAAGAAGATGAGAAAATACGAGAGAAAAAATATATAATTTAGATGTCATTGTCCTTTTATCATTAAATATTATATTTTATAGAAAGCTTTTAATTTTGGCCCAGCCAGAGGAGAAATTTTGCTACATTACAAAAAGTGTATATCTCATATGAATAAAATTTGACAATTTACCATGTAACCAAATTGATGAGTTGTGAATTTTTATTTGGTTGTGATACATATTCAGGATACAATGACGTTTTCAACCATTGAAAAGAAAATCAAACAAAATTGAGCTCTAAGCTTGATAATGTTGTTTTATTTATTTATTTATTTTTTTACAAGGGGTAGAGGGGAAATGGGAAATTGCTAAGGAAGACAACAAAAGATTGTCAGCTCCAGTGATGATGCCTTCCCACACGTGTGCACTTGCCCAACCGCCCTCTTTGATTTTTCACCTGCTTTTGTCTATTCATGTTGGGTATTCTTGTATCATTCTATGGAAGTTTCTGTTGAAACTTTTGTTTTTCTCTGCCAAAGTAGCTTTAGCATTTTTCTTCCGTCCTTTTGACCCAAATTGGCATTCTTCTCTTCATTCTTACTGTGGGGAAGTGCACAATTGTATCTTCCTGAGCCTCCCACCTGCATAATAGTCATACAGATTCAAAAACTTGTTTTTGTTTTAATGCTTTAATTTAAGGTCATTGGTAATTTTTTAATAAAAACAAAAAATTTGAGTTAAAATCGTATAACATGTAAATATAGTAAATTAAGCAACACAAAAAAATTATTTTACATTGTATAACTCAAAATATATTTTTTTTTAAATCAAAAAAAAAAAAAAGGAACTTGCTGCATTAGCGGCGTTAAAAGTGTACTGTCCTAACCAAGATCAATATTTAATTCTTGTTGATGTAATCCCTTATCCCTTAATTTTCCCATTTTCAAAAATAATCAAAGAAAAAAGTAGTCAAAATATAAGGGTTTAGACCAAGATCTTTAGTAGGTCCATATCTAACTTTATACCTAATGCATATATCCCCGCAAAAAGCCCATACAGGGTTCAGCTTTCAATTTCGATCATCGACATTAGAGAACATCTATTGTTGGTCTAACCCTAAGATGGGCATAGGTAGCATTATCATCTTTCTTTAATGGTGAAATCTTGGCACTATAATCTAGCTAGGAGCCTCAATCCATTGTGGATGACTGACTTATTATTACCTTTTCCTTGATTTGATGGAGTTATGTTCTCAATGCATTTGACTAAGAAAGAAAAGTATACAGAAGTCAAGAACCACAAATTCAATAAAGCAAAGTCACAATTACATACAATTTGGTACAAAGGCTTTGTGGTTCAGAATGGCTACAAACTTTCCCAACTTTTTGTAATGTGATTGTTCCTTTTGGTGAACGAATGAGTTGGTAACAGCTGAGAGGGTTTATGTCTTACATATCCTACTTACCCTACTTTGGAAAAGAGCCATGGAATCTATAATTTGGTGGTCACATGTGATAAGCAACAAAGGTGGGTATGAAGCAACTATTAGACAGCAGATGTCATAGTGAGCCTAATATGGATGAAAGTTTGATGTCTTTAGCTATGATTTTGCCTTTGCTCATTAGTGTTTTAGAATTAAGGGTGACATTCAAAGTATACATTAAGATCACAATATGCCTAATTGAGGGGTTTTTGTTATACCTGAACTGAGTAACAAAGCAATGTAGGAAAATGGAAGCTTCTAGCCTGGCCAGGTCAAGTCCAGGACATAGCCTTTGTCCACCTCCAAATGGGGTGAAGGTATGGCTGCTTGTGTCTTTTGCCTGTGAAAGAGAGCGCCCCACACCCCCCCAAGTTTATGAGTTAAATGCTACAAAACAAACATTAAGTAACACAATAACAAAATGAAAGAGGGTTCATTTCATACTTGCCACCTCCATGGATTGAATTTATAAGGGCAATCATAGTGATTTTCATCAAGATGAATTGATCTAAAATACGCGAGAAAGCACCATCCTTTGGGGATTAAATGCCCTTTAATCTCTATGTCTTTAGTGGGTTTCCTCATCACTCCAGTTATAATGTTTCCCATCCTTAGAGTTTCTGTTATAACCTGCTTAAATAGAATTTAAGTTAATAAATTTCTCTTAATCCCTATTTTTCCCTTTGCTAGTAGATCTAAGTGACAGATTTAGCTTACACTTTGTGTGAATGGTAATAATGACAAGAAATCATTCCAAGACAATGGCTCTCCACTCAGAACTTTGAGTTTCTTCAACTTCATATTTTCCTCCTGAGAAATTTCAAGGGTCAAATTGAGAAAACAAAAAATGACATCACAATCATCACAGACTTATATACATTCACGACCTGAAATATCATATAAAAAAAATATCAAGATTCAAGAGATCTTTCTTTTAAATAAACCAGAAAAATATCCTATTGCACTCAAATATATGTGTCTTTGATTTTTCTTTTAGCCCTATTCTATGATTGTGAATGCATCCGCTAAAGTAGTAGCTTTCATACATGGTGGATAAAGAGCCCTTTAGCAACTAAGTGGAGAGAAGTTATCCAGGAATTCTTCTTATTTGTTCTCTATAAAGACTATAAAGATGTATAACACAAAGGTTAAATTCTCATTTTAGTCTCTCTAGGTTGGTAAAAACTCATTTTTAATCTTTTTACATAAAAAAAAATCCCTTTTTAATACTTTTACTTAAAAAAATCTCTTTTTAGTCCCTAAAATTTAAAATTCAACTCCTTTTTAGTCCTTTATTAAGCTTTGCATGCATAAACATTAAACAATAAAAATTTCAAAGTAAAAGGACTAAAAGGAGCTAAAAAGGGGTTAAAATAGCCCTGATTTAGTCCCTTTACTTTGAAAAAAAAACTCATTTTTGGTTTTTCTCTTGTGAAATTTCCATTATTTAATGTCAAAACTTAATAGAGGGACTAAAAATGGACCATATTTCAAATTTTAGGGATAAATAGAGATTTTTTTTAAGTAAAAGAACTAAAAAGAGATTTTTTTGCCAAAATGGAGGGACCAAATTGGGGTTTTAACATAACACAAATGGCAGAGATACCCCAAAAGACAAGAAAAACCAGAAACTATTGGGCAAAATTGTCTTGTCAAAACATGGTCTTGTATCTCACAATAATACGAAGAAAATAGGTCGTTATTCTAGAACAATATTGAGTTGTTGAAAGGGTCTACTTAGAGCAATTAGAGTCAGATTAGAATAACAACAGTCCAATTATTTAGTGAAGGAAATGACAGTAGTGACATGATTTTGTTAATTAGATATTTGGAAGAGAAGACTGCATACCGTCATTTGTCGAAGAGCTGCAGGGCAATCTGAAAGGTATTTTATTGCAAGAGTCATTAGGACCGGCACTGATTCTTCTCCTGGTATCATCATGTCAATCATGTTATCTGCTATTAGATCATTTGTTAATTGTCCACTTGTGTCTTGGAGCAAAGCATCGATGACGTCTCTTGGAATTGTTGGCATGCCAAAATTCCTTTTAGATTGGATGATTTTCTGAAGCATCTTAACCATTTTCTTCTTTGCCTGAAATTGATCAAAGGGATGCTGTTTAGAGCAAGCAGAGCAGCCATATTGGAAATAAGAAAAAGAAACTAAACTTGACTGATTAACTTGCCTCCAAGGAGCGATAAAGTTGACTTCCTGGCACTTTTACAGGTAAAGACATTAGGCCGGAGATAAATTCATGGAACTGTTCCTTGAGATGCTCCAATTCTTCACCTGGATCCAAACTAATCAATGCCTTCACTAGAACTTGAAAGGCAATCTGTAGACAGGAAAGGGTATTTTCTTAGTAACTTTTAGAGAAAGTTAAACCTTTTACCGATCAAAAGATCCAGGCTATAAGAACATAATTATTATGAAAACAGTTTCTTAGACAATATGATTCAGTAAAAATTATTTTGAACCCCACCAACTGGGTTTTTTAGCACTTTCCAGCCATCATTTTAAAAATTTAAGTAGAAGCCAGAGATAAAATTCAAACTACAATGATTCCTCACAGAAGAGAGAGAAGGTAGTACTTGTGTGTGTATTGGTTTCTTCTTCCTCCTGTGTCTGATGAGGCTCTTACTTCCTCATAAAAACTTCAAAAACTTAGAAGAAGAAGAAGCCAAATATGGTTTTAAAATAGATGGCGTGTCTTGTTTTATCTGGTATCTAAGGAACTCTTCTCAAAAAAGCAAAGAGTCATCCTAAAACTCAGAGGACACCAAAGGTATAGAAAACAAACTCCAATGAAATATCTACTTTCCAACACTAACGCAAAAACACAAACACTTGGAAACCACAAAGGGAGAGGAAAAACAGAAACAGCACTAACATTTTTGGTTTCATCTTGGATGTATGTGGGTTGGTCATCTCTCCACTTATCCATTGATTCTTGAACATACTTGACCATGTCTCTCGTGATCTGAGCTTTGAGAAGGGGAGACTTGATGAATGCTCCTATGAGTCCATGAACCCTCCTCTGCAGACTCCCATTGATGAGCAAAATGGAGGATTTCCCCATCAACTCAGTTACAGATTTCGGGTAAAACGGCACAAATGTGTTTGTATCATGCAGAACAACCCTGCTCACTTCTGCATCTGTTGATACAATCGTTGGTGTTCCAAATATGTGTGACTTAAACACTTTCCCATACCTAAAAAGAACATTAACCCATAATCATTTCCACATCGTATTCTTCAAAAAAAGGTGTAAAGTTAGAAACTTGATGATAAACTTACATTTTCCGGCGTTTATCCATGAAGCTCTCTGGGCGGTCAGAGTAAGCACAGCAGATGAACTCCAGGGTTTCCCCAAGAAAAGGCCACCCTAGAGTACCAAGGGGGAGTTTTCCACTGCATTTGGATGATGATGATGATGATGATGATGAAGAGCTTAGGCTGAAGTTGGTCCTTTTGTTGTGGAGAAGTATTATGGAGAGCAACAGAGTTACTGTGCCCAACAGAGTCCACAGTAAGGTGTCCATCTCCATGATGGTAGTTTGCTTTCCGCACGAATGCTTCACTTTCTTTCTCTTTGTTCTTTATATATATGCTTAATCATGGTAAATATGGTCATGATTTTCTCTTTTTCTTACTATGGAAACTATGATGTGCGTAGGTGTGTGCACGCGTGGAATTTTTTTTTTTTTAGTTTATTATGATTTTTTTTTTTTACAATAGTAATGATTATGAAGTTAGTATGAATTAATTGTTAACAACTGAGGATTCGATCTTCAAATCGGATGAATATTTCAACCCCTCGAATGAGGCGTGCAGCCATCATGCCACTTTTTGGTAGAGTTCACAACTGTGGTAGAGTTCGAAACTCCGATCACCTCACTCAAACACTTAAAACTTGGAATCGAACCATTGGATCTAAAGGCCGATTTAAGTTATTATGATCTAATTCCAACGGGTTATGGACCACTATATGCCCTTTTAACTTACGCGGGTGCCAAATGCGACAAAAATACATGTTAAGAACTACTCCCCCGTTCAATTTATTTTAAAGATGTTATTTAATATATTTATTGTTATTTTTTTATTTTTAAAAAATAATTTTAATACATATTGTAATAAATAAATTTATTAAATAAAAGTAGCTAATTAAAAATAAATACAAATATTTATTAATTAATTATTATTATATTTTAATTATTTTTTTAAAAAAAAGACTAGGTCAATTAAAGTTTTTCTTTTAGAAAATTAAGTCAACTGAAATTGACTGGAATGAGAAATTTTCTTGGCCGCTTAACAATGCATTGGAGATTTTTTTTTTTTATGAGAACTTTGTTGGAGAAGTTACTTATATATAGGGCCTATTTGGTGGAGTTTGGTGGAATTTGTTAGAGTTTTTGTTTTTTTTATATTGTTCGTGAGTAATAAGTTTAAATTTTTATTGGAAGAAAAATTTAAAAGTTACTTTTAGAGATAGGAAAAAATGAGTAAAAAGTGAATAAAAATGAGATTTGTAAAAAGCTTGAATTTGAAACTTTTGATCTTTTACTGTTTGAGGTCTTTTTAAGGTTAAAAAAGTTTTTAAATGTAAGTTTTTAATAGAAAAATTAAATTTATGAGGTCTTTTTAAGGTTAAAAAAGTTTTAAAATGTAAGTTTTTAAGAGAAAAATTAAATTTATGAAATATGAATAGTGTAAAAAAACTGAAAGATTTAGAAGGTCCACCAAACAGCCCATAATTGGGTTGCTTCTTAGGGGGTGCGCCAACTCTTGGGAAATTTGGGAATTTAGCAACACATGATCAATATGTATGAAAAGAAACTAAATATTCCGTTGATGCTCAAATCCAAAAGCAAAAAATTTAAAATGAAGTTTTTAAAGTCCTAGCTGATGTTTGATTTGTAGTTCAAATATAGTACAAGAATAATTGAATCAAGTACTAGTGGAAAAAGCACTAAATTGCATATCTAAAAAGTTATGAGGTTACTTTGATTGCTTTTAAAAAAATTGGGTTGCATAATAAAAAACAAATATCTTTTATCTTTTAACTCATTTTACTTAGACATCATGCTACTCAAATTTAAAAATTTCTTAAATCATGTGTGGTTAGTTGTAATAAATATTCCTTTTTCAAACTATAAAAACAAGTTAAATTTAAGAAATTTTCTTAAAAAATTAGGAATAGTTAAGACTTGTTGATAATTTTTTACTAAGTTAAGAGATGAATGAGAAATATTTACTCTTTTACTTTTTGTACAAAATAGATATTACTTAATTATTTGCTAATGTAAAATGAAAATTATACATTAACATTTAACTATTCTCAACTTCTTGTGAAAGTCTTTTAATTTTTATAGTTTTACTAAGGAATACAGATTATCACTAATTAAACACCCCCTCAAAGATTAATTATTTCTAAATTACTTTTATCATTAGTAGCTTCATTGCTTTATTTTATTACAATGGCTTTAATTCTTTTATAAATGGATTTGTCTAACTTGTACCCCTAGGGTACCAGTTAAGTTTTATTAACTACAAAATTTGTAATTAATTTTATATAAATTTTCATATCAAATTCATATTTTTTTTTATAGATTTTGAATACAAATATTATATTTTATTTTAATTTTTACATTTTATATTTTATTTTAATTGAATATGATATAAAAATTTATACAAAATTAATTAAAAATATTACATTTAATGAAACTTAACCTATACCCTTAAGAAATTCCTTATAAATAATCTAGGACCAGAGATTATCTAAAATTGTTGAGAATGGACATGAGACTTTAATGCGAGTAGAACCCATACTGGAAGAAAAACGACAGCAAACTACAAGATTTTTCTTTGGTGGAGTAAGGAGGCAAATTTAATGCTGGAAAAATTAGGCCCAATCTTGGTTTGCAATCAATTTTATAGTTGTTCAGCGCTTATGAATGAGGTGATTTGTAAGTTCTTGTAAAATTAATCAGTTAAAAATTTAAATATTTATGTTATGAAAAAAATTTTAACTAAATAAAATTATTTTAAAATTAAAGCAAAGTCACTCAGAATTAAAATCTAATTTCTGATTCCATGTTACCCATAACAGAGTTGTATAAAGAAAAAAAAAGGGAGAATGGGAAGTATTATAAATTATAGCAAACATCATATTAAATTTGTGATGGGGAGAAGAAGAGAGAAAAGTCCCCACAAGTCTATGATTGTTTTTGGTGTCCCCTCTCCACAGGCTGCAACAGCTAGCTGGGTTGGCCTCGTGCATTCATGTGACACTTAATAAGTCCAGCCACACTGCATCCATCATCATCATTTTCTTCAATTTTTTTTCTTCATACCTTATCTTTTCTCCAACAAAATTAAGTCCATTCCTCCGTACATGTGCATATAAAAAGACTAAATTTAATAAATAGTCTATTAATTATATAATTTATTTCAGTTTAGTTTAGAAACAATTTTTTCATTCAAAATTATCTATAAACTATCAATTTTGTTTTAAAATGGTTTACTTGACAAACATTCTGTTAACTAGACTAACGAAAAGTTCTTTTTTTGCTATTGACATGTGCCTTCCTAAACTTTTGAAAAATGTTAAATATAGTATATATATTTTTGTTTTTTTACAATATTTTATTTTTGAAGTTTAAATTCTATATCAAATATAATAATTAATTAAGATAATAATT